TTCTTTTTTATTATCCTTGGGATTTTCATTAATTACTTTTTTATGGGATCGGTAATGCATTTCCAGGTTTGGTTATTGGCATTAATGTAGAATCTGTTTTGCACTGATACATATTTCAGGATATTTAGTCCAGCATCCTACCAGAAGAAGAGGGCCTCTATATTTTTACATGCAGTTTTTAAATATAAATATGTATGACCACTTTGAGTTTGTTTTCTGTGACAACCTGTATATGTATGCTTACAATAATACATATCTATTTACTTTGTAGGTGGAAAAATGTTAATCAGTGAAACAGCCTATTTTTGGTCAGGAGGAATGGCACAAAGTAGATCTGAAGGAAATTTGGTTGACATGGAAGCCCAAAGACTCTCAAAAAATTTCAGTACTACAGGTATGGGAACTTATAAATGTTGTAATTCTGTCCATATATCCATCACCAGCAGCTACTGAAGGTCTACTTCTGAAAAGTGCTACAGAAAATTAAAAGAATTATAAACCGCGATGTTATCATAGAAATAATTACACCATCATTAAAAAAGATGTGCAAAATAAAATAGCACAGCCAATGGATTACAAGAAATATTATAAAGAGGCAAAGATTTATTAATAAACGAGTGATAAATGCAATAAACATAATGGATTTTGAGGTAAAAGAAATCTCTGAAACTTGGATTGGCCTAAGAAATATTTATGGAGCATAAAAGAATTGAATCAATCCTCAGAGGAAAAGTAAACTTTAAGAAAGTTAGGAATAACTGAGTTGAAGAAAAGTGTGGAAATAAGAGAAATACCATTTTTATTTTTCAAAATGCATCTTCTGATTTCTAATATATAACACTTAAAACACCTTTCAATCCAGATAATAGTTTTACATATACTAAACAAAAAAGTCTGACAATTTACTTAAATTCTTTTTTTCTATAGAACTTCTCATCATTTGGTTGGCCATTGTGGCCACCATTTTCTCTAATGCAGCATCAGCTTCACGAAATCAGCAGAGTCATTACTACTATTTACTGAGAGGAATGACCACTATGAGATGCTATTTAACATAAAAACAAATAGCTTCAATACTGTGGATATACAGAAATTCTTATACTAGAAATGTGAATATTTTAATATGTTGCTAATTCTTAAAACACTCACTTTCCAAAGTAATAAGGTTTCCATTCCTAGTGGTAATGGAATACAGTAATATTTTGGAATTGGATACAGTAAGACCAATCTGCCATTGCAAGCTACAAAAGCTCA